TGAAAATAAAGTAGTGAATATCAGTCTTTTTACTTACTTATTTTTATTGTATCTTAAATATGCCTATAGGTTCATAGGTATTTTGTTTAAAAAAACAAAAGAAAAAAATGTTCACAGCACCCCCTGTTCAAAAGCACTTCCAGCGGCCCTGCTATGACAGAAAAAACCATGGTGAGGGAGGATGGTGTAAAATTAAAACTTGATGAAAATAATAAATTATTTACAAGAAATGTCAAAGATTTACTGTAAACAAGTAAGGACCATTTCTGACTAAACTACTTGGAGGAAGCTGATCGATAAGCTTTCCTGGTGACATTTGTAATATCTTTATGCTTTTATTGCTAAAACTGTGGTTTTCAGCTTTTTTGTTTTTAAAGACAACATGACAAGAAGTGCTACCAGGTGAAATCTGAGGGTTTTTTTTTTATTTGCTTTTAACTGTGATAAAGAGTTGTTTTAAGTAAAAACAGCCAAGGTTTCTATTTTTAAATCAGATTTAGGCCCTGATTTAACTTAATACAAGTTAATACAGTTCAGTCTATTTGTGTCCCCTATTTTATCATATGCTGTGACACACAATGTTACAAACTGAAGCGTACTCTCGGTTCCAACTACTGTAAATTTATACAAAATTAAGCTATATTCAATTTTAGTCATTTCATATGAGTGTATCTCAGTACAATTCACTCTAATACAAATCAGAAAAAATGGCATATACAGCAGTTCAGTCAAATTTATGATAGAATAACTGATATCAGTCGTTATTTAATGTAAAGAGTAAGAATATAAAAGTTAAATCAGCACAATTTTACTCACTGAACTATCGTTATTAATTAATGACAAACTCGGTTTTGCATTCTATGACAGTTTTAATATTATTTTGCAACCGTATAAATGAAACCTTTGATTGCATTCTTTCATTAAAAAAGCTGCTCTGACATTATTACTTTACTGCCCTTTATTTGTGCTATTTTAGCCATTTTTTTACACTTTTTAAAGAACATATGCCTCTATTTTGTTACAGGCCCTTTTTAGCTCTTGGGGACAAGATAAATTGCTGTGACAGGATATGATCTGTGGAATTTGAGTTTGACACATGGCAGTGCTAAGTTAATTTAGTCATTTTATTCAGGTATGTGGGACTTAAAAGGTCTGAAAGTTGCAAGAGACCAACCCTAAAAGACTCAAGCATGAGAGACCAACTAAACTAACATTAAAACTCCAGGCAAGGATTTAAACTCAAGACCTTCCTGCTGGACGGTTGTGCCTACTGCTCCATTATGCAAAACCTAACAGTTCATTAAACCCAGAATACTGGCACTGTGGAAGATTAGTGCATTTTCGATTAGATTTTGATGCATGAACATTTATTTCCCCTTCTTGTAAAACTGCTTTTAATCTGAATTCATACCCACTGTGCAGCCTGTCAGGCACCGCCTCTCCTTCAATGATAGTTCACTGTTAAACTCTGCCCTCAGTAAAATCTACAGAAATTGACTGTAGAGGAGAGAGAAGATGGGGCTGAGAGGAGAGCAGAAGTCATTTGTATTCAAATCCAGAGCGAATACATCAATAAGTCTATTTCATGGGTGCAGGAGACATTCTACACTGCAGCACCTCCTCAGCTGCCGCAGGCCCAGAGAACCAGTTTCCTTCCTCGTTGTTTGCTTGTCTTGACGGCAGTTACGTTTTATTTATTTATTTATTTATTTTTTTAGCTCTGGACATTACCAGAGATCTCTAAAATATATTTTACTGTGTAACTGTGTGCGCAGAGGGGGCCTGAAAAAGGCATGGTTTCTAAGCATTAAGACTGAGAAGGACAGCAATGAAGGTGACCGTCTCCTCCCCATCCCCTCAGTCTAACACAGAGGCCTGGGGTTTTTATCCTCTGCCCATGGGTGTCACACCCATAGAGGGTGTGTGAGATTCAGCCCCCAAACTTTTCATATTTGACGTCTGTAACATCCACACTTTTTCGTCTTACTTGCAGTCAACGTTGACTGATTCAACTATTATACAGCACGTTTTATGTAAGACAGATCCGTATCTGCAGGAGTAGCATCTGCAAAAGTGAACTTGTTTATGTTTTCTCTGATTGTCTCTCTCAGCAGCGTTCTGTAGTCGGCAGCATCATGCATCCTTTGCTCAAAGCTAAAGGAGCATGCACACCTGTACGGTTTTTCATACTTGCCAACTCTCTCAATTTACAACACGGTAGACTCCCGATTGTTAATGTTATCTCCCACCGACTAATTTCAATCATTTATCCAACTAATCTTTCAGTGAAGGAAAAATGCAAGCTTGTGGGGGATATAAGCATGGGTGTAACAGACAAGGGGTTCGCGTGGGACATGTACCCTGGACTTTCAACGGAAGAGGATTAAGGCTACTGAAAAATAAAAAAAATACTGGTTTTTAAATATTATTTTATATTAGCTTAATATGGGAAAAATAATTCTGACTTAGATCTCAGAATTCTTACTTTAATTTCAGAATTCTGACTGAATTCGCATCAAGTTGTACCGGTAGTCATGTCTATTTTAGAGACTAGCTCTCTTGTTTTAATCACCTTCTGATCTTCCATTAATGAAATAGCATCACCAGGAACCCCTTGGGCACATAAAAAGTTGCCTAATTCCGTCATTTTCCACCAATGTATTCCTGGTCCTCTCAAACAACTCACATCTTTGTCAGTGAAGCTGAATGCTCCCACATCTCTTCCTTCATGGTGCCCATCTACATTAAGATCCAAAATTCTGAGGTTAAAATCAGAATTCTGAGAAAAAAAGTCAGAATTCTGACTTTTCTTTCCCGTATTAGACTGAAATAAAATTTCAAATTTTTTTTTTCTTTTCAGTGGCCCTAATCCTTTTCCATAACTTTCTCTATCTATCCCCCGCAATTTTTTTCAGACTTTACAACAGATAAACCTGCTGTGAGTATGCAGTTGGTATTTTCAAAATAAGGTTCCTTCATCCGGTATACAAAAAAAAGGCAATAAATTCATCTTATGTATTAATCATTATTAATATTTATCCTGTGGGCTGGAAAAAATGGAAGTCTAGATAAGTTATTTTTTCCTAAAATAAGTGCATTTGTTCTTGGATTGAG